CCTCTCTCACTTCACAGCTGGGAAGGGGACGTCTTTTTGCTGTGCTTTCCGTGTTGAGCCTGGCACTTGCGTGCATGCTGGTAACGAAGATGGGCTAGGACACGACTTGCTGTGTGTTCCCTATTCTGACTGCTGCTGGACCCCAATCCCTAGTGAAGCTGTGACAGTCTGAGGAACTCGTAACCTGGCAGCTTTGACAGAGTTCATCAGTTTAAAACTGAATTCCAGGTAAATTCACTGGTGGCATCCAATGGCCAAGAGTGCCTGTCCACTTCCAGGAAGGCAATCAATACGTGGAAAATACATATTGCATTGTTTGTTAACAGGTGAATAGCTGAGTTTATCTGTTCTTGAAAATATAAATGTTTCAAATGAAATTTCATTTTCTAAAACATTTTCTTCAGGCATGCACAGTTTATGATGCAAATTTGTCACCAGAACAGCTTCTCAATGGGCAAAGATTTTTTTACGGCTAGAGGCACCTTAGTCCTATCACTCCCCCAAAATAAATGTTTTCTTTCACAGTGCTTCATATAATGCAATGAAGACAGTTATTGGACAGTTCCTGACTTTCTCTGATACCCTTTGGTTTGATCTAAATCAGATCATTAAAAAAACTTCAGTAAGCTTTTCAATGTAACATCTTGGCAGGGAAGCCCATGGCGTTGCTTTGAGAAAGCAGCTGTACTCCACCAGTGACTCTGGGCCCCACTAGGCTAGAGTAGGAATCCTGGATTTCTCACATGATCTGCTCCACTAAAATCAGCATATCGCAAACTAAACCAGAATCTAGCCATAAAGAAATGCAAGATGCCTGCACTGGAGCAGTTTTAGCTTGCTTTGGGGATGGTAGAGGGCTACACCTATCTCCAGATCTCCTTAGAGAGGGACGTTACTCGCACCAGACCAACTCTCCGTCCCCGTCCATCTCTGAGCAGCAGCCCAGGACAAGCAGAGCTAAGGCAGCGCTGTTGCTTCTGCAGGTGGAAAATGGGTGGCCAGCAGTTCTCGTATTCTTTTCCAAGTGGGGTGTCAGTCCTGTAATCCTCAAAGCAGAAAGCCTGCTGCGCTCGCCGATTACCTGCTGTGCTGCCTCTAGCCCCTGCAGTTGTGTGAAAGGAGAGAAATCGCTGTTAGTGTCTTCTGAAGGAAGCCGAGGAAGGTGAGAGAGAGGGGCTTCACGTGTGCCCCATGGGGGCTGGTCAAACTAAGCTCACAGGCTTCAACTCTTAAGATTTCCTTTCGGGGAGCCTGGGTTTTTACCTCCTTATCCCCTCTCACCTTTACCCAGCCCGAACCAAGGCACCCAAGTACTGGACTTCAAGAAGCTCCTACTGTGTTGCTGAACTGTTCCTGCACGGGCTTACCACGGCTTGGGAAGAGGGCTTGGAAGGCCTTCAAGCCATAGCGGATGAGAAAAGGTTTCCCCACAGCCGTGACGCCGGCCTCGTCTTCTGCCCCAGGTGACTGCGGGGCAGTAGCGTAGGGGGTTCAAATGCGCTTTTTGTGGGGTTTGGGTCTGGTCCCAGCATGGCTGCTGGCATGTTCCACACAGGTCTTCCTTTACAGTGAGATAAATTACGTGAATCGGATCCCCCCACCGCCAAGCAGGGCACAGGCAAGTTTTTATTGGGCTCTAGTGAAACGTGGCCAAACTCCACGGCCAGCAAGGGACGGGGGGCGGGGGGAGCCTCTCTGTTCCCAGTGCGTGCCCGAGTGACACGGAAAATGTGGTGTCGGCTGGATCCCTCGCGTTTCCCAGGTCTGAACGGTCGTAACTGTTAGCTCAAGCAAAGCCAGGGCTTTCCTCCCAGAATAAGAATAAAGCCCCATTAAACCCACCTAATGACAACACAAATCATGTCGAACAGAAAATGGCTTGTGTTCCCTACTCGGGCTTCTGAGGCTTGTGGGTTTTGTTCTGGTTTTCCCATTCCTAATTTGCCTGTGGGAAACGCTGCCTCCCCCCAGCCCTCCCAGCACAAGCACACAATAGCTGCTTGTTTTTAGCCTGGAAGGAATTGCTGAGCCTTTAAATAGCTGGAATTGAGTTTATTTTTCTTCTGTGCTTCAGCTCATTCATTACCCCAGTCATAGCATCCTAAAAGTGAGGATTTCTAAGAGCACTGGAATTTCCCCCCTTTTTTTTTTCCCCCTAAAAAGATGCTCTGCATCTTAAATTTCATGCAGCAGCCCCGTGTTAGTCAGTAACTAATCCTGCGGTGAAGAGTCAGCTTCCAAAAAATTAATTCACATGCCATTAAGCAAATATGATCTGAG